GAGGAGCCCTACGACAGCGCTGATGATGAAGATGACGAGGAGGTCTACGGATCTGAAGACGATGAAGAGGAGGAGAGGGCTGCACGCGAGGAGGAGGAAGACGAGCTGGAATGGCGGCGAGGAAGGATGAAGATGAAGATGAGGACGATGATCAGCTCAATCCCGAAAATTTTCAGAAGATGGTGTCGTGGTTGGGGCGACATGATCCTCCTGAGGCGGAGGAGTCCGAGGATGAGACGCACAACACGGTGGGCAACGTGCCCATGCACTGGTATGCGGACTACCCTCACATCGGCTACGATGTAGAGGGCAAGAAGATCATGAAGAAACAGGGTCCCGTAAAGGATGAGATGGATCGCTTCCTCGACCGTACCGACGACCCCAACTACTGGTGCCTATGCCTCCTCCTTTATTTATCTTTAATTTCATTTATTTATCCGATTTATTTCGACCTCCGGCGATTGGTTAAATCTACACCCGATTTAAGAATTCAATGCAACCATGTTTTATTCTTTTCTTTCCCACTGGTCTGCTTGACTTACACGCTCGGCACCTGGCAGGCGTACAATCTACGATGAGAAGAACGATCGCGAGATCGTGCTCACCAAGCAGGACCTCGAGATCATCCGCAAGATCAAGGCCGGCAAGTCGCCCAGCGCCGGCTACGATCCCTACCCCGTACGCCCTCCCCCTTCTTCTTTCCCTCCTGCGCGCGCGCGAGTGTTCCAATCACTCACTGACGTGTGTGCGTGTGCCGTGTGTGCGTGTGCGGCGTGTGTTCAGGAGCTGTTTGAGAAGGACGACAAGCCCAGCATTTTCGCGGTGACGAACAAGCCGGCGCCCAAGAGCCAGTTCATTCCGTCCAAGTGGGAGGCCAAGCGGGTGGCCTACCTGGTGCGGGCCATCAAGAAGGGCTGGATCAACCCCAAGAACCAGCCCAAGGAAAAGCCCCAGTTCTACGACATCTGGTCCAACGACGCCAGCGAGCACAAGAAGAACCCCCATGCCCCTCACCGTATGCACCTCCCTCCTTATTTTGCTTCGCTGAGTCGCGCGTTTGTGTGAGTGTGTGTCGTATGTGTGTGTGTGTCGTGTGTGTGTGTGTGTGTGTGTGTGTGTGTGTGTGTGTGTGTCGTGCTGCGTTGATGTTTCTAATTTGCGGAATCTTGGTGGATGGTCGACACAACAGGCCCCCAAGCAGCGGCTGCCGGGACACAGAGAGTCCTAC